GCGAGTAATTCGTACAGAGGAACTTGCTGTATTAATAGAATGCAGACGCTATGCTACCTGCATATCTGTGATAATTAACGGTTCCTCCTTCATCGAGGTCCTGTGGTGCGCCAATAGCTTGATGGCTGGTATGCAGGTCGATATCTGTCGAAATCTCATCATCCGTATTGAAGATTGGCGTGTTGATTGCTCGGTCACCTGGCTCACCCGCATTGGTATTGGAAAATGTGTTTGCCTGCACGCCCCCTGAGCAGCTGATTACTTTGGCCAAACTAGGTCTTACTCAAAAACATGAGTTAGGGAGGTACTTGCATTTGTTAATACACGCACCATAGAATCATCCTCAATTAAGGGGAACAATTAACTGTTCTAAGTATGCAGTAGCATAGCGACTGCAACTCCCTGCCTATGAATCACCCATATCTCATGCCGTCTCCTAAAATGGGTTCGGGCTGGAATTCGGAACGTCAGCGATCGCTTCTTCTTCCTCTCATTTACTTCGTGTTACTTACATTTTGCTTTTATCGGTATTCTATCCTTTTCCGGATCGGCACAAATGGTGCAACAGTGTTTACGTATTAACGTCTGTTCTTATCCATACGACTTTCGCGATAGCCGACTGAAATTGAAGCTGCATCTGTTTCCTTTAATTACTTTAGTGTTTCCAATACTTTGTACTTTTTTCGTAAGAAGTCGTCTAAAGAACTATGCAAGGTGCCGAGGTTGTAAAACGGATCGGTAGCTTGGAGCCACCACTCTGATGCCCATTGTTATCGTTAATTGGTGCAACAGAATGATGTAAGCACCTAGTTTGGCATTGCTGTCGCCGATATATGCGGTAAGAATCGTTGAGGCATTTCTGTGTCACCGGCGCGGACTTCACTGGTACTCCATCTTCAGGCCTTGGCCGTCGTGCACTAAAAGTTGCCTCGCAGAACGAACTATTTTTTAGCAGTATAGTGAATCCATTGAGTAGTGATTTCAGATTAAATTATAAAATTGCTTACCCCTCCACGTACTATTCAAAGTTTGTATTTTGCTAATATTCCCATTTCGGTTTCATTTTGCATAGATCTTCCGATGCCGCTCAGCATGCTGCTGAATCCTGCGCAGTCACAAATGAATTCTAGGGGAGCTCCCGGTATGGCTCCTATGTCACATTCTGTTGATGGCACTTTCCGCGGAGAAAACCAGAACGCTGGTTCCGGGGCTGGAATGAAACATATGCAGCAGAACACACGAGCGCCAGGCGGTCCATTACCAGCCAATCCATCTGCCAGTGGTGGAGCTCCACGCTATCTCAGTAACTCGTCTGGAAAGGGTCGTTTTGACCAGAATGCTGGAGTGTCCCAGAACTCTCATGCCTACCAGCAACTGAATTCAACTAATGCCAATTCAGTGCTTTCTGAAACAAACCAATCTCTTGCCTCACAGATGTTGACACAGTCTATGGAAACTGGATCTGGAGGTATGCTGTCTCAGCAAGGCAATTGGCTATCTGGCGATGGTCGTGGAGGAAATCGCTATTCCGACGGGTTTATGGGTGGCGGAAAAGCATCAGCTCTTGCCAGCCAAACTGGGGGTCACATGGGATTGTCAGGCCTTTCGCAGGTAAGATGACGATTCATTCTGTTATTCTTTTCTCGTTTCTCCAGGTATTGTCCCGAGGTCCTCTACTTGCCATAAACATCTACACGTAGCTAATCCACAGAATTTTATCTTTTTAGTTGGGGTTCCTCACCGTTTATGCTTCATCTCGTTGCAATTGGTAAAGGAGTATGCGCGTAGTTCGTATCCATTTATTTGCCCTTAAAAAGCACTATTCCGATGGTCTCTGACTTGCTTATGAAGATATAATTTGAAGGTAATTGAGAAAGAGAAACCATTCATTGGATCAGACTTAATGAATTGCAGATGTTTCGCAGAGCATGGTAGCCTCCCCATTGTCAACACGTTAGATGCATAACCTCGAACAG